GCCCATTGTCCACTCCCGGGGAGGGGGTGTGGGTTAACGGCCCATTGTCCACTCCCGGGGAGGGGGTGTGGGTTAACGGCCCATTGTCCACTCCCGGGGAGGGGGTGTGGATTAACCGCCCATTGTCCACTCCCGGGGAGGGGGTGTGGGTTAACGGCCCATTGTCCACTCCCGGGGAGAGGGTGTGGGTTAACGGCCCATTGTCCAGAGTTTTCCGATTTCCACCGCACCCGAGCAGGAAAGTGAGAGCGGAATCCCGGGGGACAAATATAATTCCCTCGCTTGGACCTGGTTCGGTTACAATCTCTGGTGTTTGATTCTGCACAAAACATTCAACCAACCTGCGCTAGGTGTCGAAAGTAGTTACGTCCTTCAAAAGCAAACTCAAACTGAGGGATAAAATAATAACCAAACACTACTCAAGGGAACGACCGCTGCTGAGGGACTCTAATCTGAACTGCAAATAATTGAGATGATAACAGAAACATTAGGAACAACAGAAACATTGGCCGGTTTTTCTGCTTGCCCAATAGCTTTGGGTTTTTGCTTGTCTACCACTAGACACTTAGTTTTGCTCCATTTAGAAAATACTCTGGCTATTTCTTGGCCCCTGATGGGTGACCTCTCAATTCTTCACATTTAATTTCACTTGTCACATTTGCCCTCTCTACAAATTTGCCAAAGTCGCTTTATAATTCCCATGTTATATTGCTGTAGTTACTGTACCACCTAAGTTGATTTTGTCATCAAATTTGCATCCATATATGTCTGTCTTTGTGCATATATAAATATAATGCAAAGCTGAGGCTGGAAAGATTAATTTTAAACTGGAGATCCCTTATAGACAATTAAATGAAATTAAAGTGGTATTTTTCTTTAAAATTGGACAAATAATATAGAAAAAGTTTTACTTAAATTAAGTTTTGAAACTGCTTAATCTTTTTAAAATGTTATTGTCTTCAGCAAAGCTAATGCGGAGTTTGCTGTTAATTTAACAACAGGAATGACAGTCATTGCTGTGTAAATCAGATGCACTGCAGAAATCCACAAAAGATCCTCAGACAGCACCTTCCAAACGTATGACCACTTCCATTTAGAAGGACAAGGGCAGCAGATACATGGGAACACCGCCACCTGCAAGTGCCTCTCCAACCCATTCACCATCCTGGCTTGGAAATATATCTCTATTCATTCACTGTCACTGGGTCAAAATGCTGGAATTCCCTTCCTAATAGCATTGTGGATCAATCCACAGCAGGTGGACTGCTGTAGTTCAAGAAGGCAGCTCACCACCACTTTCTTAAGGGCAACTAGGAATAGGTAATAAATGCTAGTCAGCCAGTGACACCCACATCCCACAAATGAATGACAAAAAAAGTCACAACTAGTGAATTACGAATCTGTACAAGTTAATAGACGATTTGTGCTGCTTTTCCACTAACTTTACAAAAACAGATCTTGTGCATAATATTCCTGTGAAATTACAGAAGTTGCTTTATTTGCATGCTAATTGCCTATTGCCACTAAGTTGATTGTGGCAAACTCCTTTCGCAGTGTGATAATGTTTGATATTTGGGGATGTGTTGCCCGTCAAGTGGGCTGCTTTGTCCTGGATGGTGTCGTCATGCTTGAGTGTTTTTGGAGCTGCACTGATACAGACGAGTGGGGAGTATTTCATCACACTCCTGACCCATATCTTATGGATGGTGGAAGCACTTTGGGAGTCGTGGGGAACTACTCGCATGCAAGATCCTTGCCTCTGACCTACTCTTGTAGCCACAGTAATTATGTGGCTAGTCAGCTTCTGGTCAATGGTAACCTCCAAGTTGTTAATTGTGGAAGATTCTGTAATGCTGATGCCATTGAATTGCAAGGGACAACAGAGTCTCTTCTGTTAAAGATGGTATAAATAATCTCTCATCGCAAGATTGCATAAAAACATATCTAAAATAGCCTGCTTCCTAGAAGGTTTGTCAACGTACTGGGCTGAAAAAAAACTCTTGTACACACTTCAGACATTCATCTACTATATTATTATTGGTAATGCAGTTTGTTCAATGTATTTAAGGATTAAAGTCACCAATCATTACTGCGGTGCCCTTGTTGTATGCATTTTTAAATTCCTGTTCAATGCCATTCCCTAACTTATAATTACTGTTTAGAGTTTGAGACTAATCTGACTGTTTTCTGCCCCTTGTTTCTTCACTCCTGATTCTGCATCTAGATGTCCTGCGCCAAGTCCTTTCTCACTATTGCACTGGTTTAATCTTTCACTGACAAAGCTATCCCGCCTTTTTTTCCTTTATGCCCGTCCTTCCTTCCAAAGTTTCAGAATGCTTTGGAGCAGAGGGATTAGAGTTACTAAAAGCTAGTATGCAGATACAGCAGTTAATAAGGAGGACAAATTTAACTTGGTCATTTATTGTTAATGGAATGGAGTATAAAATTAAGGCGGTGTCATCATAATGTGCAAGGTGTTGATGAGATTGCATCTGGAGTACTATGTACAGTTTGGATCTCCTGACTTGATGTGACTGCATTTGGAGGCAGTTCAGAGAAGGCTGTGCTGGATTAATTCCACAGATGAAAGGCTTGTTTTATGAGGAGCGATTGTGCAGTATTAGCCTTTACTTGCTACAGACAGATGAGGGGAGATCTAAATGAGGTATGTAAGATGCTAAATGAAATTGATAGAGTAGATGTAGAAAGGATGCTTCCCTTGTGGGGCAATCTAGAATGAGAGGTCATTGTTTGATGCTGGATGGGTGATGGTCAGATTTAAAAGCGAGGAGGAGAAATGATTTCTCAAAGTACATTGAATCTGTGGAATTCACTACCTCAAAGTGTAGTGGACGGCAGAATGCTGAATAACTTTGAGGAGGAGATAGACAAACAGATTTTTCATTAGTAATGGGTTAAACAATTGCAAGGAGTAGGCAGCAAAGTGGAGTTGAGGCCAAGATGAGATCAGCCATGATCGGGTTAAATGACAGAGCGAGCCTGAGGGGCTGAATTGCCTACTCATGCTTGCTTTTGATGTTCTTATGTTTCAAAAGATTGAATACCCTTGGTTGTTCATTTTCTACCCGTGGTTACCTTGCAGCCTTATCTCTGGTATTGTAATCATGTTGTACATCCTTAATTATTTGTGCTGTTGTTTCAAACTTTAAATGTTTTTTTGATGTTGTTACACATTTTTGTACTATGGCCCAGTTTGCTGCTAACCCTTATTTCCTCTGTCTTTCACTTTTCTTTTCTATTTTTCCATCTATCTTTCATTTCTATATTTGTTTCCCTCATTCTGTCTCCCCACTCAGGTTCTCATCCTTCAGATACTCTATAAATATATTTTGTAACTCTAATGGTTCAGAATGTGAACGATATTGAGTATGGATTCTCATTCTTTTGGGTGGTAAATTGTTGGGCACCTCTGTTAAAATATAAGAAAAAGGAGCAACCCTGAGCCAGTTGACCCCTTATGTCACTCCACTGTCCAATAGGTCATGACTGATTGTCAGCTTAACTCCACAATAAATTTTCCACTTATCTCTAGGTTAAAGAATTCCAGACACTAACAACTATTCGTGAAGTTCCTCCTCACTTCCTCCTTGTTGATCAATTATTTAAGTTCATTAGTCCCATCATTCATCAAGGACCTACTTGCCATGTTGCTTTTATAGCGTCATTTCCGATTCTTACAGAACATAAAAAAGGTGAGCTGGAGGGTGCAAGACAAACCTATCTAGCAATATTCCCAGTGATTTCCTCATTCAGATTTTGGGCTTTTATTAGAAACTTCAAATAGTAACAAACAGCTTTCTAAACTCTTCTTTTTCTTTTGAAGGTGTGAAAATCCCTTTCTTTTGGGGACGCTTCTAGTTGGAAATGGAATATATGGATGAACCTTGCCCTTTCAAATCTCCTTGCCAGCAGGAAAGTAAAAAGAAACTATCAGGTATGAGCTGACTGAATTGTGAGAAGTGGGATTTAGTCAAATTCATCTGGATATGAAGACATTCAAACTAGAGAAGACTGTATGAAATGTAAATTAGATAATCCTGTACACTCTAACTTTTAAGTTGTCAGCTGTGGTTCCATTAGCTCCCTTAACTCAGTAAGAATTTAGTTGTTTCAAGTTTCTTTCGTGCATTTGAATACAAAATTATAGGCCAGTTCACCAGACTTGGAGTCCTGCATTGTTGGAAGCGTAACTGATGTCAGGTGGATCTAAAAGTCCCCATTTCACTGCGCATCTTCAAAACTGCTGTCCTGGCGAGTACTTGCCCCTCATCAGTATCAGAGTGCTGTCTGAGAGAGCTTTCTACGTGCAAATTGACTACTGCAGCAGCCACATGTCATTAGACAGACAACTGGGTGTAAATTGTTTTTAGGATGTCCTGATGTGGTTAAAATGTGCTACATAAATGAAATCTGTTCGTTTTAGAAGTCAATTTTGAATTCTTACTAAAATTGTGATAAAACTGAGCTTTTAGTTTCTACATTAGTATAGCTCAAATCAACTCACCAAAGCAGTTTCCATAGTAGGTAGAGACTTATTTGAGTTGTCATAATGAATTGCTATTTTCAGTATGTTTAAATTGGTAGTCAATTTATGTAGCTGAACAAAAGCAATTAGTTCCAGAATTTACATTGTGCTTCTCACAGGTCACTCTTCTTTTCATTTTGCTGGTGCAGAGTAATTTAAGTATGCATTGGGCACTTGCAATTATAGAATCCCTACATTGTGGAAACAGGCCATTTAGCTCAACAAGTCCACATTAACTCTCTGAAGAGCACTCCACCCAAACCCAGCCCCCTACCCTATCCCTTTAACCCTGCATACCCCATGGTTAACCCACCTAACCTACATATCCCTGAACACTATGGGCAATTTAGCATGGCCAACCCACCTAACTTGCACGTCTTTGGACTGTGGGAGGAAACCAGAGCACACGGCGGAAACCCACGCAGACGTGGGGAGAATGTGCAAACTCCACACAGACAGTTGCCCGAGGCTGGAATCGAACTCAAGTCTCTGGCGTGTGAGGCAACAGTGCTAACCACTGACCCACTGTACTACCTCAATGTTCTTTTGATAAATTTTATATTAATGCATAATAAATTGGAAATTTCAGCGCAAGGTACAATATACATAAATGAAGTATGCTCTGCTCTTTATAATCTCTATTTGAAATACTGGCAGGTTCTTGGAATGAGAATCCTAAATCTTTGGTCATTCCTGCTTCTCCCTTTATGAAGAAGTTAGGCTACGGCACCGGAGTTAATGTTTACCTCATGAAAAGGTTAGTCATTGAGAAGTTTTTGGGAAATTTTTTGAACTGAATTAAATTCATTATTCCTTGTGTTTCAGATTTGAATACATTGTTTAAGTGCAAGTTTATTATTCAGACACCAATAGTAGAAAAAATTATGGTCATACAGTAGATTCATAAAACCTGGTTTCTTGTAGACCCAATGTGATCAAACTTGGCCTTTGTAGATGTTGGGCTTCTGAAAATCCTGAGAGTTCTGACCTTAAGCAGCCTGTTCTGATATCTTCTTTTTGTTTTCTTTTGAGTTATATCGCACAACGTCCAAAATGTATGTTGAAAAGAATTCTTCCTCGCACAACCTGTAGACTTGATATAATTGCAATCATGATGGTTTAACTACCAAGCAGTTGTTATTACAAATGCAGCAGGATGATTTCGATGATCATAGTTAAGTAACAGTGCTTTGGTGTTTTATGAATAGCTTAAAAAGAATTCCAAGCCTTGCAAAATGTCACTAGTCACTGTACCTTCTCATGGAGTATTGTTTATTGGTCACATTGTATTTTCTAATTTTGAGACACTTGGCCAATTTTCCATTAATTCCACGAGTCTTGACAGCTTCACATGAAATATCATTATTTAGTTTGAAAATCTGGTATGTAGTTTGTTAGTTCTTTTTCAAAGCCTTGGTTACTTTCTAATTGCCATATGTGAGTTTTCAAAACCAGTTTGGGAGCTGTTGAGACTATTGTAGCCTGGTTAAGTATTGTCAACTCTAAGATGAGCTATAGGTTTTTTTTTCACTGTAGGGTGGCACAGTGGCTCAGTGGTTATCACTACTGCCTCACAGTGCTAGGGACCAGAGTTTGATTCCAGCCTTAGGTGACTGTTTTGTGTGGAGTTTGCATATTCTTCCTGTGTCTGTGTGGCTTTCTGCTGACTGCACCGGTTTCCTCCCACAGTCCAAAGATGTGCAGGTTAGGTGGAGTAGTAATGCTAAACTGCCCCGTGGTATCCAGGGATGTGCAGTCTAGGTGGATTAGCCATGGTAAAATGTGGGCTAATAGCGATAGGGTGGGGGGGTGGGATGCTCTTCGGAGAGTCACTACAACCTTGATGGGCCGATAGGCCTCTATTTGCACTTGGGATTCTATGAAACTGATATTAAGGAACTAAACCTGTGAAAAATTACATTATTCATAACATGAAAAAGATTTGTCCCCGTGTGTCTCCAGTATTTTCACATAATTGGAATATATTGATGTAATTTAATGGTATTGCGGTCATGCTATTTTCCAAAAAATATTGTTTTTAGATCCCCTACAGGCAAATCAAGTTCTCCATGGGCTGTGAAAAAGATTAATGCCAAGTGTAATACAAAGCAGGAAAATATTTATTTGAAGCGACTTCAGGAAGAAGCCAAACTTCTGAAAGATATTGAGCATCCAAATATTGTTGGTATGTCTATTTACATGTTTAATGTAGAAAAAAACCTGAGAAAGGACAATATGAACTTTAGTTTATTTTTAAAAGATAAACCTTTGCTCAGTAGTATTGGTATCACAAATATAGAAATTTGAATTATATAGTTCTAGTTAGTAATACACATTGTACCTGTCTTTTCACAAGTCTGCCTCAAAATAATATCAAAATATATTCCTCCATTTATATCAAACAGCGTTAGTCTGATTGGTTGGCACCCATAGTTTGAAGTGCTTCCACACCTATGGTTGGACCGCTAACAAAAATTAGACTTTGTAATGTCCAAAATATTATTGTAGATATGCAATATGCCAATAAGTTATTTTTCTTATGGATGAGACACTAACTGGAGATCCAATTTGCTTAGTTAAATGGATGTTAAAAATTTCATGCTACTGGAGGGAAGTAGGAAATTCTGATTCAGCTAAAATTCTTCTATCACTGCCATCGCAAACAACTTGAATTCATCAAATGATTATGGCACGTGAGAAGCCATTTAGCTTGTTATGCCTGTGCAAGCTGTCTGCAAGAAAAGTTCACCTGATACTACTCAGCTTTTTCCCTGTCGCCCCACATCTTTTTTTTCTTTAGATAATTATCCAATTCTCTGTTGAAAGGTTTGATTGAAACTTTCCCACCAAGCACTCACTTCTGTCTGAGAGCATCTCTGACGTTGAATTTCTTCTTAAGCACAGTTGCTATTAGATATAAACAATGGTTGTGCTAGCTTTTGAATGGATATCCTAATGCTTGTTTTTATATATCTCTGTTTCACTTAAATTCTAGTAAAATAACTGTAGCAACTAATGGAGAGGTTGCAGATGTAAACTTGCAGATTCATTTTTTAAAAATAAGTATTGAAATAATCTTTACACTCCTAAGAAACAGTAGCAGTTTTAACATTTCTCTCTTGATATCTTCTGTCTACAGGTTACAGAGCATTTACGAAAGCAAGTGATGGGACTCAATGTCTAGCTATGGAGTTTGGAGGAGAGAAGTCTTTGAATGACCTGATAGAAGAAAGGAATGAAAATGGCAAAGGACCTTTTCCTGCGTCTACCATCCTGAAAGTAGCTTTACATGTAGCTTGTGGATTGAAGGTATTTTGTTAAATATTCATTTGCAAATGATGAGCAATGTATTTGGCCAATATTAATTGCCCAATTCCACTTCCTCTAGGGAAGATGATGAATTGCTTTTTTGAATTGCTGATGTTGTGTGACATAATTTTAGGGAAGAAATTTTGCAATTTTGAACAAGTGACAGTGAAATAACATTGACGTTCCAGATGGGAAGAATAAATTGTTACGGGGTTTGGAGGAAGAAAGTGACTGTGAAGGGATTTGAGGTTTTGTAAGGGAAGTAGAAGGAAGATGCAAATGGGGAGAGGAAAGCTGCAGTGGAGAGAGAACATTTTAAAATCTGTCGAATCTGTCAACCGCACGGTGGCACAGTGGTTAGCACTGCTGCCTCACAGCGCCAAGGATCTGGGTTCGATTCCACCCTTGGGCGACTGCCTGTGTGGAGTTTGCACATTCTCCCCGTGTCTTCGTGGGTTTCCTCTGGTGCTGCAGTTTCCTCCCACAGTCCAAAGATGTGCAGGCTAGGTGGATTGGCCATCTTAAATTGCCCACAGTTTCAGGGATGCTTAGATTAGGTGGGTTATAGGGGGATGGGTCTGGGTGGGATGCTCTGACGGTCAGTGTGGACTTGTTGGACCGAAGGGCCTGTTTCCACACTGTAGGGATTCTATAAAAAAAGATAACTGGGAGCCAGGAAGCTTAGGATTTGTTGCCTTTCAAATGGATATTCACTGTCTATATTACATGTGCTTATATTCAGGCACCACCAGAAGAGGAATTATGTAATGAATAGTATTGTAATGAGCATTGTATGAATGGTTAAATTTAATTCTAAGATTAAGATCTGAGATGCAATGAATACAGTTGGAACCGACTGAATAAAATCTCCTAGTTTTATGTATATGCAATGGAAATTCATTAGCTGTGATCTCAACAATCTGTGGAAGGTGTTTAGAGTAATGGCCTTTTCTGCATAGGGATATCAGTTATTTTTAGGGGGATCAAACTTTAGTGGCCAGCCTATGTTTGTTGACTTGTCCCAATTTAAATATTGGTGTCAAATACACTAATACTTTTCTTGTGTAATGTAGCTTTAAGTTTAATAGCAGATTGAGAATTATTGATGAATTCTAATTCTGCTTCTGTGGGTTTAAATGGGAATATTCCATATGTCAGAAATTGTAATCAAGCTTTTTAGTAATATTGAAGCTGCACTCGTTGAGACAAGAGAACTGTTTAGTTGTACTACTTATGTGTGTTTTTGTGGATGGTGGACAGGTTTTGGGGACTTATGCAAGATACTTTGTCAATAATTCATAGCCAATGATCTGCTTTTGTAACCACTCTATTTATCTGGCTAGTCCAGTTAATTTTCTAATGAATGGTGACTTCCCAGGGTGCTGATACTGGAGGATATGGACATGATTATGTTGTTGAAAGTAGAGGGGAGGTGGTTATATTTTTCTTTTGGGATGGTCATTGCCTTCTACCTAGATGGCACAAATGTTATTGACCAATTGTCAGTCCAAACCTGAATATCCAGATTTTGGTGCAAGTGGGTATGGAATGTTTGTTTTGTTTTAAGGAGTTGGGACTGGAACTGATAACACTGCAAAAATTAACAGATACTTCCACTTTGATCTTAAGGCGCAAATTCAATGAAGCAATTTAAAGATATTTTGGTCTAGGATACTATCCTGAGAAACCCCTGCAGTAATCTAATTTTGCTGAGATGATTGGTCTCCAAAAGTAACAGGCCTCTTCCTTTATTTTAGGTATGACTCCAATCAGTTGAGAGTTTGCCCCTACTTTTCAGTTTTTATAGATTAGTTTTACAAAGGCTCATTGATGCCACCAGTTATTCTCACCCTACCTCTGGAGTCCTGGTTAAAGTACTAGAATACTTATTTATGAGAATAATTTTGTGGCCAGTTCTTGACACCACATTTTAGGTGGCATGTCAAGACCTTGCACAAGTGCAGGGTTCACTAGAATGGTAAATCTACACACTTTCCCCTTCCATCTGCTCCCATATCCCATTATTGATCACCTACTTTTTCTCCATACTACTGCAATTTTTTTTTCCTTTTCAGATATTTACCCAATTTCCTTTTGAAAGTTTATCTTTAATCTACTTCCTTTTGGGCAGTTCATTCCAGAATACGCCATTTCTTTCTTACAGCACCAATTATCTTAAATGTGTGCCTTCGGTTATCCATCTGTTGTCACTGGAAACCGTTTCTCCTTATTTACTACATCAAAGCTATTAGCATTTCTGTGTTTGCCCATTTCACAAATCTGTGCTTCTGAGGTTTATAGAGTCATGGAGATATACAGCACGGAAACAGACCTTTCGGACCAACTCATCCATGCCAACCAGATATACTAAATAAATCTGGTCCCATTTGCTAGCATTTGGCCCATATCTCTCTAAACCCTTCCTATTCACATACCCATCCAGATGCCTTTTAAATATTGTCATTGTATCAGTCTCCACCACTTTCTCTGGCAGCTCATTCCATACATGCACCACTCTTTGCGTAAAAGGTCCCTTTTAAATCTTTCCCCTCTCATCTTAAACCTATGCCTTCTACATTTGGACTCTGGCACCCCAGGGAAGAGATCTTGTTTATTCACCCTGTCCATGCCCTTCATGATTTTATAAACCTCTATAAGGTCACCCCTCAGCCTCTGATGCTCCAGGGAAAATAGCCTAGTCTATTCAGCTTCTCTCTATAGCTCAAACAGTGTTACTTGGCTGCATATGGACACAAACTCTTTCAGTTGTGAGGAGTTATAAATGGTGCTGAACATTATGCAATCATCAAGAACCATTTCCACTACACGACTAATGTTGGAAGGGGAAGGTCATTGATGAAGCAGCTGAGGATGGTTGGAAGATGAATACAGACACTTACAATTTGTGACATTAGCTTCAACAGAATTATCTGTTAGTGGCTGTCTCTTTAGAACATATGGGTAACAACCAGCTGTTTGTTCCTTTTTCTCATTGTTTACAACCTTTCCACGTTTCATGGCATGAACAAACTTTGAAATTATGGCCCAGTTCTTGAATGTGTATCAAATGGAACATTAGGTTCAACTGCATTCCTAGGATATGTTGGTATATACCTCCTTCCAATTTGTAAAGCAATTGTTACTGCTATTCTCCAGTTTCTCACTTACCCATTTTTATATTCATGTAGCCACTGCCCTTGAATATCATGGTCTTCAATTTTGCTATTCTACAGTAACTTATCAGATTGGTTTTGAAAGTTCACATGAACAACATCAATAGCACTGAAGGCACAATACTTTGTAATATGAAATGTCATAGACATGTAATCAGAAAGATGAGCACAGGTAAAAATAGAGACATCGGGAGAAATGGGTTTTTAGGAGGAGCATGAATTCATGAGAGCTGAAGGTCTGGCTCCCAATGATTCAGTGAGGAATACATAAGATCAAAGTTTAAGGAAGTGCAAAGTTTTAGGAGGGGTAAAATTATGCAGTTGGAATCAATGAGTTTGTGCTGCTGCCATAAGTAAATGTCCACAACAAAGCAAGATTATTGTAAAACTCCAGCTGCTGCTACAGTTATGTTTTATTGGATGAAATGCTGCCTACTGTAGCCAGTCTGGTTACTTGTTCTAGTTCATAATTGCATGCTAAGTTTTAATATGATCTTGAAAAACTATGCAATTATTAAAGCAAATATTCAGGAAGGTTCACTACTGTCATTTTGTGGTACTTGTGCATACCTAATAAATCAGGTCTTAACCAATTTACTCATATTTAAGAACAAATTTATTTTTAAAAAAAAGTCTAGTTAATGTCAGCTGTTATGATGCCAGCTGATGTTACTACTAGGGAAGTCAATCCCAGAGTAAAACCTGGCTTGGTATTTTTTTGTTTTGATAAGGTGGTCTTTCACTGAAACTAAAACATTCAATGCTGTACATTTGCTTTTAACAAAACAGAAGTTTTCTAATGCAAAAGAAATGAGGATAATACAGAATAAACTAAACTGTTAGGTATAACACAAATTTAATAGAAAGACACAATAAAATACAATCCTATTAGTTGCAACAACACTTCTTTACAGAACTCTCGCCAGAGAGAATTTCCTCCTCTTTCACATCCATTAGGTTGGTTTAACTGTGGGTTCAATTCCTATCTTGAGAATCTGTTAGTCTTGTGCCTTTTTGGAACTTAGATTTCCTCGGCCTCAAATAACCCCTTCAGGATTTTAACTGAACACATTTGCTCTGCAAGTTTTAAACTAAACTCCTTGAAATGAGATAACAGATTTCTTAACAATCTTAAAACTCAGAAGCAGCTGTTTTACACATCTAGCTTCAAACAAGATGTCTGCAAACTGACCCAAACTGAAACTAAAATGATTTTTTTCTCATGGTGTGGGTGTTTCTGTTAAGTACAAAAAAAATGCAGAATCTTCTATTTGAAAGCCTAATGCACTACACTGTTTGCTTCATTTGCTCGTAAACTCTCCCAGTGTAAACAAAGCTAAATTAGAGACAATTCCTGAAGAATAATAGTGTGCTTTCAAAGAAAACGCCTGCTGTAGAAATATTTCCAAGTTAATCATAAAACCCCTTGCACACAAAAAGCCCATAGGTCACTAGATCAATGTTCAAAGATCCAAAATAAATAATATCAAAATATACATAAATCATACATCTTACATTACATAGTTACAATCTTTCTAAAATTTCTAAAATAAAAATCCTATTTTGGATGAAGGTTGCTGATGTTATTAATTGAGTAAATGAATACTACACTAATATATCCTTCAATGATAAAGCTAATTAAAGTGTGAAGGCACAGATAAGAGTGTTTTCAATTAAATCAATGGACAAAATGTTACTGATGGTGTTTGAAATGTCTGTAGGGTTGTTGTGTCACAGTGATAGTGTCCCAGTATTGAGCGAGGAAATTTTGGTTTAAGTCCTCCCTGCTCAGGAGATGAGTAATAACATCTCTGAACAGATTGATTATAAAATATAAGATGTCTGTGTCATGATAGATAAAGTAAAGTTAAAGTACTGGATTTTATAAAATTCACAATTCTGTACCAGACAGTGGCATTTTTTTATAATGTTGTATTAGAACTCGTTTATGTATACATGCAATTCCAGTATAGTCCTAAGGCAGTGATATCTATATATTTTGGCTTCCTAATTCATTTCTGCATTCTCTCAAATGACCTTTTGCCAATGCAGTTTGAAAATACTACTGACCTGTACAGGAGCAGTTCCAATTTAATTAACTGATTGGTAGATTATTCCTCTACTTGCTCATCTAATGTTTTAGCTGTTGTCAAACCATTTGGATAACATTAATCACTTGCAATGAAAAACGTAGAACATGTGTTTTTCTAATACAGCAATTTAACTTGCAAAAATAGTGTGCTTTTGCTCCACTCTAAGATGATTGACTCTGCTATGTCATACCACTGCTGTGTGTTTAGCTCAGGTACCTATGCAGATCTGACCATTTCATGAGGTAAATGAGGTTAATGTTTAATAATTTTGATTTCTTTCTTGTTAATATATTGCATCATCTTGCTTTCTACAGCCTTGCATATTGGCAATTTGCTAAACTAATACTTCATTTTAAAAAGAATAAACAATGGTATTTCTGTTTTAAATAGCAAGATCAAAAGTTCACTTTGCTTCATGGAGGACGCAAGAGAAATTACAGCAGTGAGATATGAATGTTCTCAATTTCGGCCTGTTTTTATTTCATTAGGAACATTTTAATACTACATTCATACACTGATTGCATTTCTGCAAAATTATTACTGTTAAATATTTCTTTACTTTTGAAACTTTCAGTATCTGCATAATGAGAAAAGACTCTTGCATGGAGATATCAAATCTTCTAATATCGTCATTAAAGGAGATTTTCAGACCATTAAGATCTGTGATGTTGGTGTTTCACTCAAATTAGATGAGAACATGCAAGGTACGTGACAGTTCATTTGTCAATTTTAGTAGAAATAAATTAGCAGGGTGGACTAATTCTTTTTCGTGTTCCATCCCTCCACTTGCTGCAGCAACTTGGAATTTAAAAGGGACCTGATATTGCCAATTATAAATATTAGACTGCATCAAAAGCCAGTCTGCCAGGCTCCTTGAGTTAACAAGTAAAAAATTAGTTTTACTGGAGAAGAACATAATTTTTGCAACTCTGCACAAATAACAAAAGGTTTGTAATGTGCAAATGTATTTAACCACACTCCTTAAAATCTTTCACACAACATCCTCCAAGCCTGGGAAAGACATGAAACTTGGCACAGTTTTCTTAAAGAGCATAGTTCAGGTACAATTATGTTCAGAAAGTATAAATCATTCAGATTGTCCAAATGCTGCTCTGCAGCCAAAGTCACTTTCCACACAAGCTAGTCGCTCCGGAGATTCTCCCTTGATCAGGCATGGCTGGTCATATTCTCTCTGGGAATAGTGATGTTGATTCCGATTTTTCCTTTAAGAATCCTCCACCTTCCAGTGGGTTGAAAGAGATTTTTGAGAAAGGGAAAGCAGAGGTTTGATGCTCTCGGCAGTTTCTTTGACTATTCAAATCCAGTGTATTTTACATCCAGGAACTGGGTATGTGAGCTCTTAAGTGTTGTAGGTTTGGTTACTCCATTCAACCAGCTCACATTCGTTGCAAATGCAATATTTTTCTGCTGCTACAACCATGTCCTTTGCTTTGAAAGATCAGCACACTTCTGGTCAATAGTTATAAATCAGTAAATCAATACATCCATCCAATGACATAAATTAATATGTCATTAATAAAATGATTCATCAGGAGTTGTACTAATATTCTACAAGAGAACAGTGGTGAACTTCTTGAAAATGTGTTACATCACAATGAATATTTTTTAAAATGTGGCAAATCTTAATACTTGTTGATTCTTTTTCTTTTTTTTAAACTTTGTGTTCTCAACACAGTCATGTACATTCGCTTAATTGATCAAACCATTTTGATTTCATGGTGCTTATGGAAGTGTATACTGCATGTAAATTATTTTAAATTGTTGCTATTCAACTCTGAAATTTATTTAGTTATCGTCATTATCAGTGAAGACCAAGGCATGGTTTGAACAATTTGATTTGAGGGAGTTCCTTGCATTTACAATTAATTTCAAAATTAATAGATGTTGAAAAGAGAAACAGCTGCTATGTTTAGGATTTTATGCTCAACATTGTCCTTCAATTCTGTTAATCTTTGGAAACTGCAATGTATATGACCTTTAAAGTTTATTCCACCCTAATGTTAAATAAAAAAGCTTGTTGAGATTGACCGTCTTTTGAGAGTGTTAGTCATCAGCAGGGTTCCTGAAGCAAGATTTGTTTTGAACATAGTTTTGCTCTTCACTGGTTTCAAAATATATTAACTTAGTGGAAAGGAATGTTTTGCCATCTGCTAATATTTTAAGTCTGTGGGGTCTTTATTTTAGGTTGGCTTAAATACAAATGTATATTCAGCTTATTGTTCATCTGAAAGTATCTGTGCTAAAGTGGTGAAGATACCCCCAACCATGAAAATGTGTTAAAAGAGGAAACAGACTACTTGGGCTATTGAAGCTCATGTACAAGAAACTTAGTCTAGTTCCAACTAATTAGCTATCGCTTTAATGTCTCCCAAGTGTTGTCTCCACTATACCCACCATACTACTTCAGAATTGAAGTGTAAAAATAGTGTATTGCGCTTAAAGTAGAGTGCTCTTAGGAAGGGTCACTGGACCCAAAATGTTAACTCTGATTTCTCTCCACAGATGCTGCAGACCTGCTGAGCTTTTCCAGCAATTTCTATTTTTGAGTCTATCCTATGCATTGAATCACACGTTTAGTCTGTGCCCATATCCTACTGGTACTCTTTAGCTAGAAATTGTTCCAAATACTTTTATTTTCTAAGCTGTTAACTTTGTTTTGTGTGTATTTCCCCCTCTCATTCCATTTTCCAGTTTTTACTCAACTCAGTTCTGTTAATATATGGAGAGCTTTGATTTATGTTCCTTCTGTCTGGCTCTGGCTCTGGAACATATCCTTTAAGTGTTGCTAACAGTTTTAAGTTAAAGATTTTTATAATCTCCACATCCAGAATGTCATTTTAAAATTGTTTTCCAGTAAGTGATCCTAAAGCAACATACATTGGGACTGAACCATGGAAACCACAAGAAGCTCTGGAAGAAAATGGCCTAATTACAGACAAATCAGACATGTTTGCCTATGGCCTTACATTATGGGAAATGATTACTCTTTCTATGCCTCATATAAATATTTCTGAAGGTAAGCTTACAATTCTCTAGATTTCCATAAATTCTGTAATGATCTGGCTATTTCACTGAATGGATCTGAGAATTTGTATATATAATATTCTCTGGCTTTTCATTTATTAAAATGAATGAATGGGCAGAAAATCATGGACTGTCTCCATTATTTCCTGGGTTCCATCCATTGAGACTTTCACATTAACCACATCAATGTCATGCGACAGCTAAACTGGACGTAAATAGAAACAAAAAATGAGTAGGTGACTCAGCACTTCAAGCCTGCTCGAACTTTCAATATGATCAAGGCTGATCTCCTTTCAACTTTGATTCTACATCTTTGCATAACTCCAATAATCTTTCATCCTCTTGGTAATCACCTCTTCCTTAAACATATTTAAAGATTTTACAGCCACTGCCATTTGAGAATAGGAATTCCAATGATTTAACCTTGAGAAATTCTTTCTCTCTCTCTGTCTTAAATGGGCGACTCCTTATATTTAAACTACGAACCTGAGTTCTAGATTCTCCATGAGAGGGACATCCTTTCCATATCCACCTGGTAAAGTCCCCTCCGGATCTTTTTAGTTTCAATAATGTTACCTCTGACTCTTCTGGAGGATACTGGCCTAAACCTGCCAAGCCTTTCTTTATAAGACAATCTGCTCATTCCAGGTATAAGATTGGTAAACCTTCTCTGAACTGCTTTTGATACATTAACATCCTTCTGTAAGTATGGTAATCCGTACTTACGCACTATTCCAGATCTGGTCTCACTAATGTTCTGATCTACTTGGATTTCCAGAAGGCCTTTGACAAGGTGGCACACTGCATTGTGCTAAATAAGATAAGAGCCCATGGTGCGAGGGACAAGGTACACATGGATAGAGGATTGGCTGACTGGCATAAGGCAGAAAGTGGGGTTTAAGAGGTCTTTTTCAGGATGGAAGCCAGTGACTCTTGGGAGTTCCAAAGGGGTCAGTGTTGGTACCACAACTATTCACATTAAACAACAACAAACTGGATGAAGAAACTGGGGGCATTGTTGCTAACTTTGCAGATGACACAAAGATAGGTGGAGGGACAAGTAGTGTTGAGAAAGTGGAGAGGCTCCAGAAAAACCTGGAAAGGCTAGGAATGTAGGCAAAGAGCTGGCAGGTGAAATACAATGTGGGAAAATGTGAGGTTATGCACTTTGATAGGAAAAAGAGAGGCATAGACTATTTTCTGAATTCTGAAGCATAAAGGGACTTGGGATTCATAGTTCATGATTCTTTTAAAGTTACCATTCAGGTTCGATTTGGCAGTTAGGAGAATAATTGCAGTGGTAGCATGCATTTGAAGAGGGCTAAAATACAAGAGCAGGGATGTACAGCTGCATAAGACTCTGGTCAGACCGCAGTTAGAATATTGTTCAGGGCGGTTTTAGACCCTGTATCTAAGGAAGGATGTACTGACCTTGGAAGGGGTACAGAAAAGGTTTACATGAATGATACTGCAAATATAGGGCTTATTATATGAGGAGCAGCTGAGGACTCTTGTTCTGTACTCTGGAATTTAGAAGGATGAGGGGGATCTCATTAAAATATACAGGATTCTGAGAGGCCTGGATAGAATGGGCAAGGAAAATATAATTCCACTAGTCGGAGAGACTAGGACCCAAAGGCACAGGTTCAGAGTGAAGGGCCGACCCTTCAGAAGTGAGATGAGAAATTTCTTTAGCTAGAGGGTATTGAATCTGTGGAAGTCAAGTTATTGAGTGTTTTAAAGACAGGGGTAAACAGGTTTTTCATTAGTGAGTAGATCAAAGGTTACTGGGAGAAGGCAGGAAAATGGGGTTGAGAAACGTTAGCCACGATAGAATGGCTTAGCAGACTCTGGCTGAATGGCCTAATTCTGCTCTTATATCTGTGGTTTTATCATCTGCATAACTGAAGCATAACCTCCTTTCTTACATTCGATTCCCGTCGCAGTAAGACATAACGTTCTATTGCTTTCCCTGATTACTTGCTATACCTGTATACTAACGTTCTGCCATTCATGCAGTAGGGCGCCCAGATCATTTGCAACCACACCATTTAGATGTTATTACTTTTTACATTTGACGCCATGTGGTGATATTTGGGGATTGTGCTAGTGGGAAGGCACAGCAAGAGTGAGGTGATAACATTAGGGGCAAGAGTTGAATGTGCAGAAGGAGAGAGAACGAGAGTTTGCTGAGCAATGAGTGGCCTTGGGACGAGTAGATTTTCACCAGGGCAAGTTTGAGTTGAATAATAAGAACAAATGAGGCTGTTTTTGGTTTGTGAATGAGGGGTGCACCAATCCTGGAGATACTGCAAAACCATGTCAATGTGTGGAGTTGACACAGCATACTCCTAATCTTTTATACAAAAGATACAGGCAGAAGAAAAGTCAAGAACCACCACCTCCCCAACCATCCCCCACCACCACCACCACCACCACCACTGCCCCCATCAGACACTCCTGGGATATGGACAGCATCAGGTAAAATAAAGTAAGGTGCAATCTTCTTATTTGAAACAAAAAGTAAGTTTCCTTAACTTTCATAAATGAAAATTAAAGCTCCTGTCACTCTGAGGAAAATAAAAATAAGTAAACCAATGAAAAATGGCACTCCCTTGGCTCCATCCCCACCATCCACTCCCAGAGCAGGGACTGCAAGGAGCCAACATGTAAAATAAACTTACTTTGACTCGTTCAAAATCAAAAGAAATGAAAATAGAAGAATAAAACTCCTCTGGTCCATCCTCATCAAAATGCTCCTGGGACATAGACGACAAGCTCTGAAATCCAGAGAAAAGTTCCTCCACCCATGTCAACTAACAGTAAAATTCCCCTCTCACTAAACCCATCAAGCACATCTGGGCCAGGGACATTACGGTGTTGAAATAAAAACCAACCCTTTTGCTTTTCCAAGAGGTTCAAAATCAATACAAAGGAAAAGCAAAACAGCCCTTTCATGGGCACTAAGCCGAGAACAAACACACACTTAAAAAGTTGAGCAGAAACCTATACTACTAAATCAATATATCATTATCTAAACTGAAAATGGCCTCACCACTCATTAGTCACGAGAGACGTCCACTGTACTGGTGAACACTGCTTGGTTCCTCTCCGCGTTCACCCAAGCGTGGATATAACCGCAAAAGCAGGACAGATGAGCCTCTCCTCAGCCCTAAGACTGGACCTGTTGATGAACATCTTGGCCAGGCCTGGGAGCAAAGGCACAAGAAGATCCATAGATTAGTCCGCCCCTCCCCACATGAGGTGCCCATAGATCAGAAGCATGGGGCTGAAGTGCAATCAAAGTTTAAGCTGCAGCCCCTTCAAAAAACTGGTGCTGCAACTGGATATACTCAACATAAATGTGAAACACCGTCTCCTCCAGGCCACACAACGTGCATGTGGTCTGGCACCTGGTGAACTTGTTCAGTCGACGATTGTCTGGGACTGACGCATGCACACTGTCCACCCCAGATCCCCGATGTAAGAAGTGAGGACCTCTCTCCGCTGGGGATCTCTGTCACCGAAGGGCAAAATGTCACATCAAGGCGTATCTGGGTGGCAGTCAAAGGCTTAGCTATGAAGTGTGCAGCATCAGCCTGCACACACAATTCCTCTGTGCTGTTCGAAAGGGCACCGGGTGGATATCCCTGAGATGGTTTAGATTCTGCAGCACCACGTCATTGGCCAGGGTCCATGGCATGGGGCCTGTGTTGAGTTCCAGTCACACAGGAGTCTGTTCGTCTGGAAGCCCACCGCACACTTGAGCTGCCACACCTCTTGTATCCAGTCTGTCATCGACTCTGGTCAGCCCTGCATCCTGAGCTGTCTCCTCCCTTGGCCAGCGCAAACTGCGCTTGAGGAGGAACCCGTTCCTGACTAGTGGCTCCCTGATGAGAACTGCCACTGCCGTAGGGGCAGAGCTCTGGCATGAGCAAACTGTGTCCCAGACTGTGATCAGGTCCAAATAGAAGACAAGCAATTCCCAAAAGAAGATCCAAGGCCAGGTCACAGGAATTGTGTGTTGTAATGGAGGCCTCACACTTGTTGGGGGGGAAAAAATACATCATCAGGGTTCACCACCTCGGAAGAGACTCGAAGTAAAGATATCATGCAGGGTCTGAAAGCGGAAAGTTGCTATCCGAGTGCAAAGGCACACCAGCGCATAAACGCTCCCCCCTCAAGCAGGTGACTTGGAACCGCAGCGGTGACCCAGTGTTGCCTTTTGTCCCAGAAAAACTTGATGAGCTTTCCCTGAATGGTCATGACAAAACCAGGGGTAGGGATCAAAGTGATCAGCTGTAACCACAACATGGCAACAACCAGCTGGTTTATGACAATACCTGGTGCAGTCTTGTCGAGCATGCTAGGCAAGTGGTCACTTGGTTTCCAACTCATGCCAATTTGCCGGCCAGGATTCTTCAGCAGGACAAAAACAGACTCCCAGGTAGAGAAGGTGAGTAGTATTCCACATGAAGTACTGGAGCTCTTCTGGCAGAGGATCCATCTAGCACAGACCTGCTAGAAGTCCTGAACACATGCTCTAGTTCATCTTCACAGAGGATGCTGCAGAGTAGACTTCCTGTCACTTGTGCATCTCCCACAAGGCAGTTGGGTCTGTCAACATAAGCGCATCATCATATGCTGAAAAGACCACCTCCGGCTCTGCGCTACGCAGACACAAACTGGTCAACCACTTGCACAATTTATATGGCCGGACAGGTGGCAGCACTGAGGCTGTCTTCTTCCAAAGTGCAGGGGCACTGTCAGGGACCTGTTAACCTTCAGTAGATGCTCCGCGGCAGCGTACAGAAGTTGGATCCGGGCAAGACCCGAGCAGATATTCGTGGTCTACTCAGTCGAATGTCTTTTCCTGATCAAGGGAGAGAAGGGCACTCGTCAGGCCAGATGTTGCTTTTTATTCTTTCATCAAAATGTAATTTCCCACTTTCCCACATATACTTTCTTTACCAGATCTGTAAGGTTTTGGAGTAGATCTGTAGCTCTGGTTGTGGGTGTTGAGGTTGGTTGGCTCGCTGAGCTGGTTTGTTGTGTTGCAGACGTTTCGTTACCGTGCTTGGTAACATCCTCAGTGCAGCCTCCAAGGAAGCGTTGGTGTATTTTCCTGCCTGGTTTTTAAACTCTGGGGTCCGTTGAGATGGATTGCCTCACTTCCGGGTTTCCTCCGTAGTGGAATGTATACGGGGTCGAGTTCAATGTGTTTGTTAATAGCATGCTTCATGGAGTGCCATGCTTCCAGGAATTCTCGTGCTTGTCTCTGCCTAGCCTGTCCCAGGATCTTGGTGTTGTCCCAGTCGAAGTCGTGGTTCTCCTTGTCCATGTGGATTGAGATGAGTGAGTATTGGTCATGTCTTTTTGTAGCCAGTTGGTGTTCATGTACTCTTGTTGTTAGTTTCCTTCCTGTTTGTCCGATGTAGCGTTTCTCGCAGTCTCTGCAGGGGATCTTGTAGATGACGTTGGTCCTGTCCATGGCGGGGAGTGGGTCTTTAGTTCACCTGAACAGGCTAGGCAGAGACAAGCACGAGAATTCCTGGTAGCATGGCACTCCACGAAGCATGCTATTAATAAACACATTGAACTCGACCCCGTATACATTCCACTACGGAGGAAACCCGGAAGTGAGGCAATCCATCGCAACGGACCCCAGAGTTTAAAAACCAGGCGGACAAACACACCGATGCTTCATCAGAGGCTGCACTGAGGATGTTACCGAGCACAGTAATGAAACGTCTGCGGAACAATAAACCAGCTCAGCGAGCCAACCAACCTCAATTACCAGATCTTTGCCCACTCAATTAACCTATCTACATCCATGTGTAGTCTCCTTATGTCCTCTTCACAATTCACTTTCCTACCTTTGTCCAAGTCACTTATATGAGGCCCTAATACTGACCCCTATGACAAAACTACTTGTGACATCCTGCCAGCTTGAAAAAGACCCATTTATTCCTATTCTGTTGCCAATTAGAAAGCCTATATTTTGTCCATGTCATTGTGTAACTCCAAGACCATGAGCTTTTATTTTCCTGAATTACCTTTTGATGTGGCGCGTTACCAAATGCCTTTTGGAAATCAAACTACATTAAATTTACTGGTTCCCTTTTACCCTCAGCACAAGTTACTGCTTTAATCAACTCCATTAAACTAGTTAAATGTGACTTCCCTTTGACAAAACCATATTGTTTCCAGCTGATTACCTTAATCTTACCCAAGTGCTCTGTTATAACATCTATAATAATAGCTTCTAACATTTCCCCAAGACAGATGTCAATATAACTGACCTATTATTTCCTGCTTTCTGCTTCTTTCCCATTTTAAATAAAGATGTTATATTAGCTATTTTCCAATCTGAAGAAACCTTTTCTGAAAGTAATGAGTTTGGAAAATTAAAACCAATGCTGCAAACATCTCACTAGCTACTTATTTAAAACTCTTGCATAATGTGATCAATTTTGGTCATCTCATTCAAGGAAAGGCATTGGAGGCAGTCCAGAGAAGGTTTGCTAGGTTGACTCCTGATATGGAGGGATTTTCTTGGGCGATTGAGTTCATTGATGTTTAGAAGATTGAAAGGAGACCTTATTGAAAAGTATAAGATTCTTGAGGGGCTTGGCAGGGTAGGTGTGGAAAGCATGTGTCCCCTTTTAGGCAGAGACTAGGACCAGGAGAAATACTCTCAGACTGGGTCACCATTAAAGAAGTAGAAGAATTTTTTTTCTGAAGATAGTTACAATCTGTAGAATTCTTTAATGCAGTAGGCCATACAGGCTAGGTTGTTAAGTCTGTTGAAGGCTCACGTAGACTGATTTTTGATCAGTAAGGGAATCAAGATATATGAGGATAAGGCAGGAAATTGGAGTTGTGTTATTGGATCAGCCATGGTTTAAATCTTCAATGTCTTGTGATCTTCCCTAAAGATTCAGGGAGCCCATGATTGTGGAGTTCGTTGCTCTCTCCCACCCTTGACTACTGGAGGAGCAGCAAAACCAGGAGAGACCCTGTGATTGAAAGAGCAGATCTGTCTCCCACTCTGGCATTTTTATTCACTCGCTTGATATGGATGTCACTGGCCAGGCCAGCACTCATTGCCCTTGAGTAGATAATGGTGGTGAGCTGCAGTCTACATGCTGTAGCTAGACCTGCAGTGCCATTAGGGAGGGAATTCCAGGAAAATGTATCTAATGACACTGAAGAAATCAGGGTCAGGGTCACAGGTGAGTGCCTTGGGGGAGAACTTGCAGATGGTGGTGGTCCCAGAATGGTACACATGGCTGCTACTTAGTCTCTGTGGTGATAGGACTGAATGTTTGTAGATATGGTGATAATCAAACAGGTGCTTTGACTTGGATGGTGTTCTGTTTCTTGTATTGTTGGAGCGGAATCTCATGCTGCTAGAAAAATGACAGCCATTTTTGTATATGGAAAATGACATGGGACATACTTTGTGTTGTGAGCTTCCACCTTGAAAGATACTTCATGTGCAAGTAGCAGTTGGGAATGTTAACCATCAGTCATAACAGTAGTGTTTTGCACGTTTTTAATGTTTGTGGACATACATACTCCCTTGGGATTGGGAATACTTCACTGAGGGGGAGTACAATGTCAAAAAATAAACCTGATAAATATCACTAAAGTGGGCAATTTCTTAATGCAGGTAGCAGTTATGGTTAATATGGGAAGTACTTCTGTGGGCACTGTTCTATCTTTCAATATTTATTGTTAAGGGAGTATATTTGGAAGTTATTAGAATGCCTACTGCACTTGTATGCTTCCATTTTATCCCTCATGTGAGGTAGTATAGTGCTGCTGGGTTTGCAGATTACCATCCATAACAAGTTTGAAAACACTAAGTGCAACAAATCAGGACAAGATGAAACTGTCCTTCGTCCCTGTGGTTGTAGGAAATATACATGGATAATTGTGGTACTGTATATAAATACTTTCACTTTTGTTCTTCGGTTGTAGACTCTGCAGATGAGGATGAAGACAGTTTTGATGAAGATGCTTACTATGCAGCTTTAGGAACCAGGCCTGCACTCAACATGGATGAACTAGATGATTCCTACAGGCAGGTTATTGAACTGTTCCTAGTTTGTACAAATGAAAATCCTAAAAAACGCCCCTCAGCTGCACAGATAGTAGAAGAATTGGAGAAAGCAACTGAAAAGAAATGAAGTTCAATGAAATGTTTTGCCCAACCTGTCTTTGTTTTATGAATGTACTTATGTAAAATTAATTATACTAACCCACTTTTAAATTCTAATGTTAATGTCATTATATTTTACAAGTTTAACTGAATTGCATGCATTGAGCAACATTTACAGAATATGACCCAAGTTTCAAGTATTGATTTCTGTCTATAGATTCAAGGTGATCTGTTCAGTATACCATGTGGGGCTAAGCTGAAATGTATGACTGGCCTAAACTGTAGGACTCCATTTTTGTTGATGCCATTGCAGAAATTTTGTTTTAAGATACTGAACTCTGATGTTAGAGCATGTGACACTTTGAATTTGCTCTAATTCTGTTTAAACAATATTAAAACTACCACAATCAAGTGTGGCTCATGTTAATTAAAACAAAACCATTCTCCCAAATACTTATCATTACATGGTCTCTAGATTTGTACTCACTAAGATGGCTAAATATTGTAGTATTCTACCTTTCATATTGCTCTTATTATGTGAGATCAGCTTGGTTTGTATTTGTCACTAGTAGTATGTATGTTACTGAACTGTTCTTTTGTAATTAGTGACTGGCTTTGACCTTTTATTCTCTAACCACACTATGAATAATTGTGAAGATGTGAATTTAGATTTTGCATATAAGAATGCTACCTCTTAGGGAAAGGGTAACACAAATCTGGGGTCAATCACCAGAATTCTTCATAACAACATGCAATTTTCAAATTAAACATGAAATTATACCCTTTAAAAATGAGAAAATCTTTTGAAAATCAAAACAGAGAATGATTTGAATACTACTTTAGGTTTAATTAACTTTTTATTGCATTACAATAATGAGTAATTTCTACAGATGTTAACAATGTGTTGGATCAAATGTTTTCAGGGGCAAAAAGCTGTTAAAATATGCACAGTGAAATACAATTTGAAATTCACCAGTTGTGATAAACTTATTATGCAGATATTTCACTTTTCTAAACTAAGTTGTGTATTCTGAAAACTCTTATTCTGGAAGCCTGTACTATAGGCAATAAGTTTGAAGGACAAAGGCGAACAACAATAAAATTAAGCATATTTACATCTCCCAATCAATCCTTTCCATTTAGCATATAAAGTATCGACAGATCCATTTTAACATGACATAATTAACATAGTAACCATTAACATTGTAAAAACTCATTTGATCTAAAAGCAAACAGTGCAAAGTGTGTCAAAAGACCAGTATGTATTTAAAAATCAAATATACAGGTACAGCTGCCCACACTGGGCTAAGGCCATGCCAAATTTCCTGGATTTTGAATTACCTGTTATCCAACATGTACAAATCCAAATGAACTCTTAGACTTTTCATGACTTAATGAGGTGGATCGTGGATCCTGGATCCTGAAAAGCACAATCCATTAAAATTGCTGAATGCCAATTTGTATTTATGATTTGTAAAGTAAACAATTGAGTCTTCCTCACTCTGCCAAAGGTTGTACTAATTGGTAAGTGGTTACTGAGTCAAAACATTCAGGTTAACTAATAAAATTATAAACCAGGAAATTTGGCGTTTTGCAGTATTTAGTTGCAAAAAGCTTGCCAGATGGTGTTGGATCAGAGAAGGCAATCTCATTTTTATTCAGGCAAGTTCCATACATGAATGTATTTCTGAAAAAAGATGGAAGTATATTAAAGTCAGTTATGTAAAATTCCTAGTGCATTTTATAAACAGGAGTAAAGACTATTAAAAAAAATTACCGAACAATGTCCACCATTCTACTGGCAATTTGTTTTCTCCGCATCAAAGTGAAGACCCAGATTCTGCTTATGCCACAAATAGCCTCTTCTGGCACGGTAGAGCATCTCCAGGCACGATAATGATCAAATGGTTGGTTCTCTGTATTCTTCTGATCAGTAGGTTCAGATAGCACCCGAAAGGCCTTTGGAGGTACCACAGGAAAATTAAAACAACAAATAATGAAGAATCTCCTCTATCATACTAATTGCAGAAATTTAAATTGATACTTTGTCCAAAAATTAAAAGAACTGCTGAATGCTGGATGGCACCCAAGTTATGGAAGCATTCACGGCACTCCATTTGGATAAAGCAAGATTCCACAAGCAAATTATCACTAAATCCCCTTTAAATCTCCCACTCTAAGGCTCTTAGGCAACTAAAGGTTCTGACAAGATCCTTTGCTAAGGAACTAAATAAATCAATGTATTTCAGATTAGTTAGAACAGCTAACTGTAGAATCATTAGAGCCCTTCAGTTTTTCCTTTGTTACTGCTACCTTGTAGTGTCTGACTATTTCTGTAATGAAATCAAAATACCATGGATGATGGAAATCTGAAACAAACAAAATGCTGGAGAAACTCAGTAGATCTGGCAGCATCTGAGGAGAGAGAAACAGAGTTAACATGGAGTTTGGTATGACTCTTCTTAGGAAGTCGCACAGGACTTGAATTGTTAAATCTAATTTTGTAAGTCTCTGCTGTTCACTCTCCCTTCTCCAAATATTCTATATGGCTTATTTCTTTATAGATGTACTCAATTAATACCAAGCAAAAGTTCCACAGGAACTCAGTACAATGAAAAGGAATACAAACACATTATCAGACTTATATTGAACTTCAAACATTAACTGTTTTGCTTTTCACTGATGTTGCCACACCTGAGTTTCTCCAGATTTTCTGTGCTTTTTACGATTTCCATCAGCCACAGTATTTTGCTTTTGTTGGAAAGGAACATATATCATAGATTGGATTTGGTTCAAAGTTATTGTCAGGGATACTTTAATAATTTTCTCTCCGAGTTAATCGGATTAAGACAAGTTAAGACAGTAGGAAAGAAACAGTGAAGGTACGATCAGAGGTTATTGGGGAGTTGAGATAAATTAGAAAAGGATACTGTGGGAAAAAATGCATGGATCATGATGAGATTATAGGAACTGCTGATGCTGGAGAATCTGAGATAATAAGGTGTAGAGTTGGATGAACACAGCAGGC